AGCAGCCATCATAAAAATACTATCATGATTAATTACTAACACTTGAAACAAATGAAAAACAGATAATCTCAGGAATAAAATATAGGATATAAAGAAGAAACATGGAAGTTTCAGAAATGAAAAATACAATATATTAAACCAGTGGATGGCTTAATAACAGAATGGATAGGGCATAGGAAAGAATCAGTAAACTTAAAGACAAACAATAGAAATTACCCAATCTGAACAACAGAGAGATAATACACTGAAAAATAAAAATAAACAGAACCTCAGAGACCTGGGGACTTTAACAGAAAGACCTATCATCAGAATCCCAGAAAGAGCAGAGAAAGGCAGTGGGCCTTCAAATGTATTTGAAGAGGTACAAGCTGAATATTTCCTAAATTTGGCAAACCATAAATGTACATTTTCAAGAAACTTAGTGAAACCTGGACAGGATAACCTCAAAGAAATCCATGCTAAAACACATCACTGTGAAACTTCTGAAAACTAAAGATGAAAAAAGGCACAAGAAAGAAATGCCAACTTACCTATAGTAGAAAAACAGTTTCTTTACAGTGGATTTCTCATCAGAAACTATGGATGGCAGAAGGAAGTGGCACATTTTTCAACTGCTGGAGAAAAGAACTCAACTCAGAATAATATATCAAGGGAAAACTTCCTTCACATGATTTGTCCCTAGCAGGCCTAAAAAAAATAGGTAGAGCAAGTTCTCTAAACAGACAAGTGACATAAGGAGTGTGGGAATACCAGGAAGGAAGAACTAACAATGGAAAGAGCAAGCATATTGGTAAATTCAATAGATGGTCCTTCTTTATGTTTGAAGGGTGAAACTTAATTAACTGTCTGCTGTGGTTCTCTTTGTATGTAGAACAAAATATTTAAGATGATTATGTTAGAAAAGGGGGGTTGGGAGAGGGACAAGAGGAAGTAAGGTTTCTGCATTTTACCATGAACTGATAAAATGTTGATAATCAGTAGACTGTGATACATTATGAAAATGTCATACCTAGAAAAATTACTAGAAAAATTTATAAGAAGATATATTTGAACTATAGTGTAGATAAAGTAAAATTAAAAAAAATGTTCAGGTGACCCACAAGAAAGTAGGAAAAATAAAACAAAATGAGAGAACAAACAATGAATTGTACACTGTGGTCAAGTGGGGTTTATTCAGGGGATAAACTGAAAATGCATGTCATATTACGTGGTATCTGTGTCATTGACTTGTTAGCAGGCTAAAAAGGAGAAGCCACGTGGTCATATTAAGAAAAAAAATGACAAAATTCTACACTCATTCCTGAAATGCTCAGAATATAAACTATAGAAGGGAACTTTCTCAATTTGATTAAAAATATTTACAAAATCTACAGTTAGCTAGTGTCAAACTTAATGATGAAAGACTGGATATTTTTTTCTTTTTGATTTTGTTTCTTTTCAGAGAGAGGGGAAGGGAGGGAAACATAGGTAGGTTGCCTCTTTCACACCCCTGGCTGGGGACCTGGCCTGCAGCCCCAGTCTGTGCCCTGACTGGAAATTGAACCAATAACCTTTTGGTTTGCAGGACAGTACCCAACCCACTGAGCCGTGAAGGTCAGGGCCAATTGTATTTTTGTATACTAGCAATGAACATGTGGAAATGGAATTAGGAATATATTAAAATTGCTCAAAAATATAAACTGTAGTGCAAATTTGAGAAGACATATGGAGGACTTTTGTGCAGAAAACTACAAAATAGGAAAGACATCAAAGATAATCTAAATAGAGATAAACTGTGTTCATAGATTAGAAGGTTCAACATTATAAAAATGCCAATTCGCTCCAAGTTGATAAACAGATTAAACACAGTTCCTATTAAAATCCCCATCAGGGTTTTTGTAGATGTGGAAAAGATTGTTTCAGTTTGTGAGGTGGAAAGGCAAAAGAACTAAAATAGTTTAGACAACTCAGGGATCACCAACTGATTTCAAGACAGCACAGGAATCAAGACGGTGGTATTAGCTGAGGGATACATAGATCAGTGGAACAGAACTGACAACCAAGAAGTAATATCACAAACATATAGCCAGTTGATTTTTGACCAATATGCCAAAACTTTCTTAATTCAGTATAGGATAGGTAGTCCTCAACTTAATAGTGCTGAAATAATTGGATGATATCAGAAAAAAAATACCCCAAACAAAACAAAACCCCAAAAATCTGATTTAAATTTCACACCTTATAAAAATCAACCCAAAATAGCTCATAAATTTAAATACAGTTTTAAATAAAATTTGAAGAAAACAGTAAATTTGGGGGAATTAGGGTTGGTGAAAAGTTCTTAGACATGACTCAAAATATGATTCATAGAAGAATAATTGATCAGCCCTGGCTGGTGTGGCTCAGTGGATTGAGTGCTGGCCTGCGAACCAAAGGGTTGCTAGTTTGATTCCCAGTCTGGGTACATGGCTGGGTTGGAAGCCAGGTCCCCAGTGGGGGTGCACAAGAGGCAGCCACACATTGGTGCTTTTCTCCCTCTTTCCCTCTGTATAAAAATGAATAAAGTATTTTAAAAAAGAATAATTGATGAGTTGGTTTTCATCAGATTAAGTTTTGCTTTGTGAAAAACCATGTTAGGAGGAAAAGACAAGTTACAGACTGGGAAAAACTATTTGCAACCTCCATATTTGACAAATAACTCATGAGGAATATATAAATAACTCTCAAATCTTAACAGTAAAAAACCCAAACAATTGTATTAGAAAAATGGGCAAAAGACATGAAGAGGCATTTTACTGGAGGGGCTATACAGATAGCAAAGTAAGCACACAAAAAGACTTTTCAATATCACTAGTCAGCAGGGAAGTGCAAATTAGGACCATGACAAGATACTACATACCTCTCAGAACAACTAAAATTAAAAAACCAAATGCTGGTAGGATGCGAAAGACAGACTCTCATATATTGCTGATGGGAGTATTTTTTACTCTGGAAAATAATTTGACAGTGTCAAAACAAACAAACAAACGAAAACATGGTTAAACATAGAGTTACCTTATGACCCAGCAATTCCATTCCTAGGTGTGTACACAAGAGAGAAAACAAATGCACACTAAAACTTGCATGCTAATGTTCACAGTGGTGTTATTCATAATAACCTAAAAATGGAAACAACCAAGTGTCCAACTTATGAACAAGTAAAATGTGGTATATTTGGCAATAAAAAGAAAGAAATTGTCAATACAGTCTGTGACATGGATGAGCCTTAAAAAATGCTGAGTAAAAACCAGTCACAGTAGACCAGGCTGGTCTATTGTGTGACTCCATTTATATGAAATGGCCAATAAAGGAAATTTTAAATGTAGAGAAAGTAATTTCGTGGTTGCCTAAAGTTGGCTGTGGGAGTGACTTATATGGTGTTTGACTTACATCTCAGTAATTTTTTTTTTAAATGAAATGTACATTTTCCCTATGCCCCAACAATCTCATGCTTGGGTATTCATCCAAAACAAATGGAAACCAACGTTCATGAAAAACCTGTGTTACTGTTCATAGTGCTTTAAATGTAGTAGTAAAAATTTGGAAAAAACTAAATTTTTTTTGCAGTGGGTGAATGGTTAAAATTGTAGTACATCCATATTGTGGAATACTACCCAGACTCAGAAGGAAGTAATTATTGGTGTGTGCAACAAGTTGGGTGGACCTCAAGGGTATTAAGCTCAAATTCCCAAAAGGACACATACTCTGTGCTTTCATTTAGAGCACAGATGATAGAATAAAAGTTGGGAAATGGGTGGGCTGTGGGGGAGAGCTCAAGATAAGATGGGAAACTTTCAGTCATTCTTACAAAGAGAGGTGGAGAATGGAGGGGATCAAAAGATAGTGTTAATAGTTGAAGAAAGCATATACATAAGTGTATTACTTAAAATTACATGAACCACCGTAAATGTATTGGGAGAAGGAAGGATCAGTGAGAGCAAAAAATGCCCAAAATGTGAACCTGCAGTTGAAGAAGAAAATGTCAATGGTATGTTCCTTTAAAATTACATTAACTAAGAGTGACACGGTTATATTGGGAGGAGGAATTCAAAGTAGCAAGAAATGAGTAGATAATATCCAAAATGGACAAATGAAAATCTGTGCTGTCTCATGGCATACCTGACCACATCAGAGAACTTGGAACTTGGCTGGTTCCAGCTGAGGCGTGCTGTGAGTATGAGATACACATTGACGTTTAAAGTATACAAACTGAAATATCCCATCGTATTTTTTTGCATTGATGAAAATGATATTATTTTAGACATGTTGGGTTAAATAAATCATTGTGAAAGTAATTTCACCTGTTTTTACTTTTTAAAATGTGGCTAATAGAAAATTTGCAGTTACATGTGTGGCTTGTATTGTATTTCTCTTGGACAGTGATTTTCAACCTTTTTCATCTCATGGTACACATAAACCAATCCCTAAAATTCTGTGGTGCACCAAAATATATTTTACTGATCTGACAAAAATATGTATATTTTTGGTTTATTCATACTAATTGTTGTGTTGGCTGTTGTCATTTTTTTTTATTCGACAATTTAAAGGAAAAGAGGTCAGTGCCCCTGACTAACAAGGTCAGGTACTGCAGGTTTTAAAAATTCTTGTGCCACACCAGTTGAAATTTGCTGCTCTGCAATCTGTAGTCTAGGACATGCAGTTAGAATTGGTTCCCTTGGGGAGTAGGCTGAGCCTGGGGAAAGTTGGTCAAGGAAGAGTTGTTTTGTATTTTAAGCTTTTCATTGCTATTTGATTTTTAAAACATCTTAATGAAATTTGATTAAAAAATTACCTCTTTAACAAAGGCCATGGTCTCTATTTTAAAACATTAATTTGTCGTATTCTAAATTACGTAGTAAACGTTAACCTTAGTAAGGAAGTTTGGAATTAAAAGTAGCTATTGTCTTGTTCACTCCTTTTTCTTCATTTTAGTTTGCTATAATCAGAAATAAAGTATACTTGTTTTTCCTGCTTTTGTCTAGCTTACTGCAGGAGTGACCAGGATATCACCTTGTGGAAGTAATGCCCACAGAAAGCGGGAGCTGTTCAGCTGCGCGCCAAGCAAAACAGAAACGCAAATCTCATAGCCTTTCTATACGAAGAACTAACAGCTCGGAGCAGGAGAGGACGGGTATACCAAGAGAAATGTTGGAAGGACAAGTAAGTTAGTGCTGAGAATGTTTGTAATATTCCAGAAATAACCAAATATACAAGGCCTCTAACGTAGAGAAAAGTGTGGGTTACCAAAGAAAAGCCAAAACCAAAACAAACCTAACAGGGCCCCCCCTCAGATATAAAGTTACTGTCAAATACAGCAACCCACAGAGTGACAGGATTCAATTTCCAAGTTAATGTTTTTATAGTACATAATAATAATAAACAAGTGGGTGGACAGTTTAGATCAGTTTTTCTTTGTGCTATTCTACGGTGTAGTTTTTATTCTACAGTGCCAGTTTTGGTTGTCTGAGACAATACTAAGAAACGTTGATATGTGAGACAAACATCAATTGGTTGCCTCCCGAATACTTCCAGACTGGGGATCATTTGCACCTGAACCAGGGATCAAACTCAAAGACTAGGCGTGTGCCCCTACTGGGATTTGAACTCACAACCCTTTGGTTATGAGTCAATGCTTCAGCCAACTGAGCCACACTGGCCAGGGCATATCTTTTTTTAATTGTTAGATTTCCTTACATCTCTAGCAGTGAAAATTCTACAACTTTTGTTAGCACCTCCTAGCATGAACTCCCATATGAGGTACATGCATTCTTCTCTTGGCTTTCTGAGTGCCTTCCCTCCATTGTGATGTAGCACAAGTGGGGTAATTGCATTTCAGGGTAACCCTTTGTGAAGGCCTTTAAGATTTTTCTGACCTGCACAGCCTAGCACTGCTTTTCAGCCCTCATCATGGTGTCTCCAGTGTTCCTTGGAAGGCGCCTACCTGTCAATGAGTGCAGTATCCTGGATGGCTGGTGTGAGGTGCTTTGCCTCGTTCAGCAGTGGGAGGATGGTAGTGATGGTGTGGGGTGCACGCAGTTGGCATGGTGGGTGTAAGTAGAGGGGTCTGAGCGTATAGGTGGTTGGTTACCAGTCGGTTTGAGTTGAACAGTAGGTCATCTCTGCATGAGGTTACCGTCCTGTTCTTTGAGTTGTTGGGGAGAAGTATCAGTAGTGAAGATTAATGTAAAGGAACGACAGTAAGTTAAACTCTAGATTCATGAGTTGGAAGTAGTTTAGAAAGCAGTGCTTAGCACAGGAATGGGAGGTCTGTAGTTGCAGAGGGCTCCTGAATCTGTGCACATGGATCACTGATGGGTCCTGTGTGCAGGTTCATGCTGCTGTGGTAAAATGCAAATCCCTTTATGCGCTTTACTGAATCAGTAGCTTTTCTGTCATGAGTTTTCTCAAGGGATACTGGAAGTTCAGCTCCTCAGTTCAGGGTCTGTGAAGTCAAAGGCACTAGGAGAGTTGTTAGGAAAGGTCAGTGGGAGGTCTTTTCAGGAGTGCTCACTCAGCCCCGCTTGCCTTCTGGTAGAAAAGTTCTCATTTCACTGCATGTTGTTTTGTGATTGTCTTTATTTTATCAAGTGATGTTAATGGTGACATTAGTTTTGTCATTACAACTACATTTTATATTAAGAGGTGTTTACTATTTAAGTAAATGTAACGTTTCAGTGGCCGAATAAGGATCTAAATGTTATGGGTGTAGGTGAGTTAAAATTGATACACGTAAGAGGAGATTTGGCCTTGGGAATCAGAAACGCTTCCCAAGGGGAAGCTAGCTGAGGGGGACTAGCTGAATGTGGGGTTGGGGAAGGACATGGCATGGAAAGGGAAGAGACTATGCAAAGGCCACAAGGTGGGGCAGACTGTATCAAACAACTGTGATGGTTTAGTTTATTTTTCATTGTTACTCTTAAGTTTTTATTTTTTTCATTTTTTAAAAGATTTTATTTATTTACTTTAGAGGGGAAGGGAGTGAGAAAAAGAGGAAGGGAAACAAGTGAGAGATACATTGATATTTTGCCTCTTTCATGCCCCCAACCAGGGACCTGGGCTGCAACCCAGGCATGTGCCCTGCCTGGGAATTGAACCAGCAACCTTTCAGTATTCAGGCTGTAGTTCAGGCCACTGAGTGACACCAGCCAGGGCTAAGGTCCCCCCCCCCCCCCCATATGTTTTATTGATATTTTAGATGGGAATTGAGAGAGGCTGCATTAACCAATTCTACCAGATTCAGCTTGTAAACAAGTGACTTCACATATGTTTTCAAGTATCTTGTAAAATTTACTTGAGCATTCTGTGATTACTTCAAAACATGCTGCCAAAATGCTTATGTCATTAGAGATCATTTTGCCTTAAATTCTTTTATCAAGTGATGTTAATGGTAACATCTTAGTTTTAATGTCACCATTAATATTAGGGTGACAAGAAATTAATGTGAGAAGGAATTTAATAAACGTTATATGTATCTTTTTATTTGCAACTCATTAGATATCAAAAAGTTTGTGCTGTATATAAATTTGAAAAATCACTTAGAAAATTATACTGATAGCAGTTAAGTACTAAAACATTATTTTAGAAATATTGCAATATTTAGTAAGAATTTTGTTTGAAAATTCTCTAATGCTGGGATGGGGTCACATAGAAAATACTAGACTACACAGACCAGGGGTGTCCAACATTTTGGTGTGTCTGCACCACACTGGAAGAAGAGTTGTGTTGTCTTGGGCCACAAATTAAATATATTACAACATGCAATCACAAAACAGTCTTAGCATTTTTAAGTGAATTTACAGTTTGTGCTGGGCTGCATTCATAGCCATCCTGAGATGCATGTGGCCTGCGGGCTGCAGGTTGGACGCACCTGATTGCAGACCATGTCCTCGGGATTAGAGCAGAATGTAGACTGTGTTAGTCTCCCTGTTATTAGCAGTGTCTGGAAGGTAAATGCTTGTCAACACAGTTGGTACCTTGGACACTGCTTACTTGTTTATACCTAAAAATTCAGGTGAGATGTTGCTTCTTCCACTGACTTCTCATAGGGTTTAGATGGGACTGATGTGTGCAGAGCATGTGCTGTGGCATGCAGGCACCAACAGCTTACTGGGACTTACATGGTAATGTTTTCATTTAACTGACACATGTTTTGCTTTTACAGGTGAAAATTTTTCTTTTTTCTATCTTCTCAGTAATCTTTTAGGTATTACAGAGAGTAATAGAAAATATTTTGCTTGAAGCAACAGTGGACATGAGGACTATGTGAGGCACATTTTCTATTAGTACATAACATTAAAATTAATTTATAATACTCTGTGATAGAACTGAAAGGCTATTTCTAATATTTATGAGAACTGCATACCCTCTCTATAAATTTGGAAGTTTTTAAATAAAGTACACGTATTTCCTCCCTTATAAAAAGAAAAATTATGTTGTTCTGAAGAAGTGCTTATTCTTATCCTAAGTAACCATTCATACAATTTGATTTTAATTTTATCTATAGAAATTTGAAACTTTAAGTTCTTTAAGTATTTTATGTATAAGAAATGAAACATGTAAAGAGATAAGATGAGCTTAAGATAATTGACTTTTTAAAAAAATTCTCACCTGAGGACATGCTTATTGATTTTTTTTTTTAAGATTTTATTTATTTTTAGAGAGGGAAGGGAGGGAGGGAGAGAGAGAGAAACATCAATGTGCGGTTGCTGGGGGCCGTGGCCTGCAACCCAGACATGTGCCCTGACTGGGAATCAAACCTGCGATGCTTTGGTTTGCAGCCTGCACTCAATTCACTGAGCTACGCCAGCCAGGGCTGATTTTTTTTTTTTTTTTAAGAGAGAGGGGAAGGGAAGGAGATGGAGAGAAATGTCGATGTCAGAGAAAACATGGATCTGCCTCTCGTACATACCTTGATGGGAACTGAACCACAACCTAGGTGTGTGCCTTGACTGGGAATTCAACCCATGACCTTTCAGTTTACAGGATGACACTCTAACCAACTGAGCCATATTGGCCAGGGCAAGAAAATTCATTTTTGAAAATGTATATTGGGACTTGGTGTCAGAGTGTCTCATTCATTCATGCATTTTGAACAAATCTTCCTTTTCTGCAGGATTCTAAACTGCCTTCCTCAGTTCGCAGTACACTTTTGGAACTGTTTGGTCAAATAGAAAGAGAATTTGAAAACCTTTATATTGAAAACTTAGAATGTGAGTATCTCCTGTCTTAATATACTTTTATAACTTTTCACTTAAAAATCTTTGTGAGTCATATTGATGTTTGGATATTCACCACTATATTTGTTTTTTTAATGTATTTTATTTGTTATGCTTTTATAGTTGTCCCAACTCTTTCCCCTTTTCCCCTCCACCCAGCATCCCCCATTCCTTCTGGCAATTTCTCCCCCTCCTTAGTTCATGTCCATGGATCATGCATGTAAGTTCTTTGGCTACTCATTTTCGGTACTGTTCTTAACAACCCCAAGGGTATTCTTTACCTACCAATTTGTACATCTTAATGCCTGAACCTTTCCCCCAGCCTCCCCCCTTCCCATTCCGACTGATAACCCTCCAAATGATCTCCATATCTGTGATTCTGTTTCTGCTCTGCTTTTTCGCTTAGTTTGTTTTTTGTATTTAATTGTTGGTAGTTGTGAATTTATTGTTCTTTTAATGTTCATAGTTTTGATCTTTTTCTTAAATAAGTCCCTTTAACATTTCATGGAAGAATGGTTTGTGGTGATGAACTCCTTTAGCTTTATCTTGTCTGGGAAGCACTTCATCTGTTCTTCATTCTGAATGATAGCTTTGTTGGACAGAGTAATCTATCTAGATTGTGGGTCCTTGCTTTTCATCACTTTTAGTGCTTCTTGCCAGTCCCTTCTGGCTTGTAAAGTTTCTTTTGAGAAATCAGCTGACAGTCTTATGGGAACTCCCCTGTAGGTAACTCTCTGCTTTTCTCTTTGTACTTTTAAGATTCTCTGTTTATCTTTAACCTTTGACATTTTAATTATGATGTGTCTTGGTATGATCTTCTTTGTGTCCATCTTGTTTGGGACTTCGAGCTTCTTGGACTTGTATGTCTGTTTTCTTCACCAAATTAGGGAAGGTTTTTTTTTTTTCATTATTTTTTCAAAGAAGTTTTCAATTTCTTGCTGCATCGCTTCTCCTTCCAGCACCCCTATGATTTGAATGTTGGTATGTTTGAAGTTGTCCCAGACTCTCCTTATACTGTCCTCAATTTTTTGGATTCTTTTTTCTTCTTGCTGTTCTGATTGAATGTTTTTTTCTCCCTTATGTCCCAAATCATTGATTTGATTCTTGGCTTCATCCTCTCCATTGCCGATTCTCTAAATTTTTCTTTATTTCACTTAGTGCACAGGTGACAAACACAAGGCCCACAGGCTGAATCTGGCCCTCAATGTTGTTTTATCTGGCCCGGCACCTTGTTTCTACCCAGTGGCAGCACTGAGCTCTTGCCTAACTGTTAAGTAGTAGTTATGTTTATACAGTCCTAAAATTACATTTGGCCGTTTGAGGGCAACCATGAGGCTGATGTGGCCCCTGGTGAAAATGAGTTTGTCACCCCTGACTTAGTGTAACCTTCATTTCTGCCTGGGTGTACCCAGTGAGTTCCTTGTGTATCCTTAAAGCTAGTGTTTTGAACTCTGCATCTGATAGCTTATCTCCTTTTTGTTTAGTTCTTTTCCTGGAGTTTTGTTCTGTTCTTTGATTTGTTCTGTTCTTTGTCTCCTCATTTTGGCAGCCTCCCTGTGTTTGTTTCTATGTATTAGGCAGAGCTGCCTTGACTCCCTGTCTTAGTAGCAGGTCTAAGGTAGAAAAATGTTCTTGTAAGTTGGATGTGGCAGAGCCTTAGGCAGTCATCAGGGTGGGGCACCCCTTGCAAACCAGGTTGATGGAGTCTCAGATATTGTGCTACTGCTCTGTGTCTCTGTGTGGGGAAGGACTCAGGAACAATGGCTGCTGCTTGGCCTCTGGAGTTTTGTCTGGGAGGAAGCTGTTCCATGGCACTCGCCCTGATGTCATATACTTCAATTTTCCCCCCTATGCCACTGGTGCCCTTCAAGCTGCTGCCCTGGTGCTGGAGCCCAGCAGAAGTGAATCTGAGTAAGCCCTAAGTCCACTGTGAGCCCTTTCAGAAGAGACGCCTGAGCATCCTATTGTTTCTTCTGCTGCCCCAACCCTCACTGGTTGTACAACCAGAAGTTATGGGGACTTATCTTTCCAGCACTGGGACCCTGGGCTGGGTGGTCTGGGGTGGTGCTAGGATCCCTCACTCCTGAGATCTCTCTCCTGATTTTAATCCACTGCACATGGATATAGGACCAGCCTGTTCTGTGTCTCCACATCTCTGCCCCACCACCCATCTGAATGAATGTGACTTTTTTAATTCCTTGGTTGTCAGACTTTCATACAGCTTGATTTTCTGTTGGTTCTGGGTAATAATTGTTTTGTAGTTTAGTTGTAATTTTTGCTGTGATTGTGCGAGGAGGTGAGTCATGTTTACCTGTGCCTCTACCTTGACCAGAAGCCCTGTTTTATGCTGCTATATTAAGTTTAGTGGCTTAGAATAACACAAGTTATTATCTTACAGCACTGCAGACTAAAATCACACACGGGTAGAGCTGTATTTGTTCTGGAGGTATGAGAAGGAATCTTCTCCTGCTTGTTTGGATTGTGGCAGATTTCAGTTACTTGCAGTGAAGACAGTGGTCCCACCTTCTTGCTGGCATTCCCAGTGTCTAGAACTTGCCCCATTCCTTTGCTTGAAGCCCTTCCTCCCTCCTTCGCCAGTGTCAGGCAGTCCTACTAGTGCGTCTCTGATCCCCTCCTATGGGTGTGTGAAAGGATCGGCTGCCTGGGTCATGATTCCAAAAGTCAAATACTAATAAATAGCTTTTGCACTGTTAATATGGAGATAGTAAGAAGACATTATGTGTTTTTTAGAAAACTCACCTTCCCTAAAAGCCTGGTCATAGAAATGTAAACAATGTAAAGGAATCTACCATTCCAGTTGTCATACTTTATATATGTCATTTGTGTATTCTAAGATCACACATAACCTGTCAGTCTACCTGGGAACGGTCACTAAGTATATCAACAGTTACATTTGAGCTTTTGGCAAGTTGGACTGAGCAAGAGTAATTTGGAACAGGTTTTACATCCTATTTAGAACAAATCACTAGTATTCCTTTAAATAACAGGTTACAATAGAAAGATATTGCCTGAAAGTTATCCTTTCACTTTGGTTCATTTTTAGGTTTTATTTGTAATTTACATAGTTATTTGATTCATTTGCTTATAGTGCAGTTCTGCCACAATGTTTTAAAGCACAAGACATCTATTTCTTCAACATCTGCATTTTTCAAGTCTGATTACTACATCTTTTGTAGGCAGAAGTTCTTAAATATTAAAAAAATAATAAGGGGGTAGAACTGCTAAAAATGCAGGTATCTATAACTATAGTGGTACTAGGTGGGAAGGAAATAGTGAGAGAAGGGAATAAAACAAACACATGCAAATACTGTGGTTCAAGTCTTTGGATCCTTGAAGTAGACCACCTTGTCTGTAGGGTTTTTTTTTTATTTTAAAGATTATTTATTTTTAGTCAGAGGGAAATGGAGGGAGAGAGGGAGAGAAACATCAGTGTGTGGTTGCTTCTCACGTGCCCCCTATTAGGGACCTGGCCTGTAACCCTAGCATGTGCCCTGACTGGGAATCGAACTGGTGACCGTTTGTTTCACAGACCAGCGCTCAATCCACTGAGTCAGTGGGCTTATCTGTAGTTTTTTTAAAAAAAATTATTCCCCTAAACATACAAAACAGTATTGAATATAAACTGTAATTAAAAAATATTTTTTAATTAAAAATATTTATTTTAGAAGCAGTGCCTTCATTTCCTTAAAGCAGTGATTTTCAACCTTTTTTTTTAATCTCATAGCACACATAAACTAATTACTAAAATTCTTTGGCACACCAAAAAATATATTTTTTGCCAGTCTGACAAAAAAATAGGTATAATTTTGATTCATTCATATTGGGCAGCTATTGTTGTGTTGGCTGTTGTCATTTTTTAATTTAACAGTGTAAAGGAAAAGAGGCCAGTGGTCCTCACTAAATAGGTATGAAAATTACTGCTTAAAAAAATCAGGCAGTGTACAAAGTGAAGATATCTGCCATTACTGTATCTGTTGACCCATCTCACTCTGCAAAGGAAAACATTTGCTACATTTTTTCTTCTAGTGATTTTTTTATTAAAAATTTTAAAAAATTCTCACCTGAGGATGGAGATATATATATAATTGATTTTAGAGAGAGAGGAAGGTGGGGGGAAGAGAGAAAAAGAAAGAGAAACGTCAGTTGCCTCTCATACATGCCCCGACAGGGGATTGAACCTGCAACCTAGGTATAAGTATGTGCCCTGAGCAGGGATTGAACCTGCAACATTTTGGTGTATGGGATGATGCTCCAACCAACTGAGCAACCTGGGAAGGGCCCTAGTGACAATTTTTATGGACTTAATCTACTTCTGTTTTTTGCTCTGTCAATTTTAGTCCATGTGCAGTCATACTTTGCTGTGAAATGTTAGGAAATGACATGTCCTTTATCCCTCACTGCTTCATTACTTTGCGGGTTTTGTTATTTTACAGGGTTTATGTTTACAAAATTAGGTTTTTCATGCCTTATAAGTTGATTCCAAAAATTGAATGCTAATAAACAGTTTTTACATTATTAACATGTTTTCACTCTATAACTAAGTGGTATACTTGGGCCAGTAGTGAAGAGATTGTAATCCTATGTCATTTAAACTTTGACATTGGAAAATTTAATGTTTTAATATTGGGTTTTCCTTATTAAGTCCATCTTGAAAATTTACAGAGGGCAAAATTATTCCAACTTTTTCTAAAATGAAAATTAAGTACCATATATACTAGATCTGATTTAAGTTTTTTTCTTTTGTTTTTAAATTAAGTATCAAGAGTTGTATGGACCTGAGTGTTGTTGAGTTTCCATTGTGATCTAAGGCTTTGTTTTCTGTGAATTTGTGCAGTTTGTTCAAGAAAAACTATAGGGTTACCGATGACTAAAGCTGGAGGTTCAGTGGCTTCTTGCTGCCTGTAGAGTTGAAATTGCTCAGACAGGATTTGTTCAGGGCTTTTAGTGCTTGGCCTTTTTTCTAACTGATATCATTTGTACTTTCACCCAGATGACTGGCCTCCCTGTAGCCGGAACAGATCTTGTGTAAGCCTGGAGGCAGTGTGGTAGGCATATGCCCTTAGAGCTGGGTGAATCTGTAGCCAGGCAAGGTCCAAATCATGGCCTCCATAGGCCATGTCCTTGGATGAGTCTTTTCCTCTAGCTGACTTCTTTTTTCATCTGTACAGGGTGGATAACAGTGGGATAACAGCACACGTACAAAGCACAGCCATGTCCACTTCTCTCCTCAGTCTCTCTACTCATTCTGTTTTTTATAGCTAACGTCCTTCCTCTTCATTCTTTTCTGTTCCCATACACTTCTACTTCTATTCACTTTTCATAGCTTTCCATCAGTTTTCAATCTTTATATGTAATCCTCACTTGGTGATCTAAGGTACCATGCAGTGATGGTTTTTTTTTTTTTTTTTATGTTTTTTTCCCCCCTTGATTTCAGTGTTCTCAGCTAGACTGTAAATACTACATTGAGTTTTGGACAATATCAGGATAGTGTTTTTAAATATATAGAATGAAGTAGAAAGGAAAGGAACTAAATTGAAATCTAAGAGCTCTGTTGGATGAGAACCCTGATAATGTCTATCATGTCTTCTCTGTGTAGGAATAGCATTGGAGTTTCTGTTTTTGGAATGATGTCCTGAGTTTTTTTGAGAACTCAGTAAACTGTGATCTTGTTTATAGGATGTTATTCATGTCTTTGTTTACACAATGCCAATGTGTAATATTTTATGTGCTCAAGTTTTGGAAGTGGTTGGTATAGTTAAACATAAAAAGTACATACTTTACTTTTTTGAAAAATTTTTTTATTTCCAGTGCGTAGAGAAATTGAGACTCTTAATGAGCGTTTAGCTGCGGAAGGACAAGTGATTGATGGGGCAGAGCTGAGTAAGGGCCAACTGAAAACTAAAGGTAAGGGGGATGCTTGTGAAGGGTGCCCTGCAGAATACATGGGGAGGGAATTTGGAATTTAATGTTGGACATGATTCACTTGACTTTTTGTGGTCAGCATTACTTGAATCCTTAATTTCTCTGTGGACATAGAGGAAAGAGGGAGGTACCTGGGAGCTCAGGCTCCTCTTCCCGCCCTGCTGTTGTCTGTCCCATGTTTGCATGCACAGGCAGACCGGCTCAGTTGTGTTGTTTTCCCATGCGGAATTGGGGTCAGTCACATTAATGTCTGCCTTCTGTCTCTGCTCTGAAGTTTGTGGCTTTTTGGTCATATGACTGTATTGGTTGTTGATTCTCTGTCTTGGCAGCCAGTCACAGTACCAGCCAGCTTTCTCAGAAGCTGAAGACCACTTACAAGGCCTCCACCAGCAAGGTATGCAAGGTGCTGGCTCTCGGGCCAGCCATGTGGTACGTAAGGTGGGCACATGTGTACTCTGGTTGCGTAGTTTTCAATTAGAAATGTGTGATAGGATATAAAATAAACTGGTGTTTAGGAAAATTCAATTTTTAGAAGGAGTATCGTTGTTAAGTGACTATATATATATAGACACCTAGGTACTAATACTTGTGAGATTAACACATTATGCATCATTAAATATGTCTTTTTTGAGGCAAAATACATTCTGTATTATTACATTGCTTGATATAGATACTCTGAATTTGGAGAAAGCTAATAAGTGGGTATAAAGCAGTGAAAAATAAGATCTGACCTATAGCTACATTTTAGTTCACCTTCTCTAATTTTCCAATTATGATCAGGAAGTGAAGGTCTGTTTCCAAGGCAAATGGGGACATTTGTAGTATTTTTCTTTTTCTTTTTAAAAAGTTTTTACTTATTTATAGAGAGGGGGGAAGAGAGGGAGAAAGAAGGGAGAGAAACATTGATTGGTTGCCTTTCTCATGCCCTCAACTGGGGACCTGGCCTGCAAACCCAGGCATGTGCCCTGACTAGGAATTGAACCAGTGCCCCTTTGGTTTGTAGGCTGGCACTCAGTCTACTGAGCCACACCAGTCAGGGCTATAATGTAAGGTGTTGAATGCCAAATTTTCTGATAATTTCTGAAGTAGAGGGAGAAAAGATTATATAAAATTATCACTTACCATGAGTAGTAAAAAGTAAGATTGGGGCAAAGGTAAAGGTATGTGTACAATAACACTTTGCTTTAAAAAAATTAGAAATATTTAAAGACCAGTCATTTTGATGATTAGAAATTCATTCGAATTTATGAGAAGCACATGAGTAATGTGCTTTATAGCATTGTGCACAATGTATGTACCTATCTTAAAGAATAACAATGAAAATATGTGACATTATTTGAAAATTCGAGAAGTGATCTGATAACAGAATGTATTCTGATTTATGCCATGCATATCTGGATAATAGAGCTAATACAATGCAGCAGGCAGATGCTGTGATCTGAGTTTATCACTTCCTCTTCCTGACTCAGCAGGTAGGTAGGTAGTATGGTTGGTGACATAGAGAAAAACTGAAGTTCATTGAGCAAACCAGGAGAGGCCTGCCCTCCCTGGGTGGCTGATAACCATCTCTAATGCCTCCTGGGAGGGAGGCAGGCAGGCACGAGAGTCTTACTGGTAAATCACTTGAAAGAAACTTACGAAAATGTTCACACTTGGATTTCATTCAAGTAGTATAGATTATACCTCAGTTATAATGATAGGATGGCAGGTGTAAGTGTCCACTCATTGCTTCATTCTGCTGCTTTTCTGTCGTGAATGTTCCCTTGCATAGTTCATGGGGGCTTCTTGGAAATTGTGGCTAAGTCAACACTTTTAAGAACAAAAAAGGTCAAGAAATGGCCACCATATAATGGGCATTAGGAACCAGTACCTTTAGCAATGTGTTAATGTTCATGAACTGTCTATAAGCTTCTTTCAAAATTCCACCAGAAACGTGGTTTTTGTGAGCCAGTGCCCCTCAGTCCTTACTGTTCCCATGAGGTCAGTGACTGATTTGGCCTCCAGTAGTTCATGTCTCATAATCATACAGTCTGTGTGAGAAATGGCAGACTTGGAAAATTAAACTTGCTACCACTTATGGTGGGGGTAGGCTGTGCATGTTTTTTAATTTCCTTCTTTCTAAATGTTACATTATTTAATACATGAATGGAACCTGTGCAGCAAAAGCATGTTTCCATGTGGAGGGGGATAGTCTTTTAGGTTAACTATGATACAAACTTTCAGAAAGAAGAAGATGGTAATGATGATGGGTTTGGGATTGATCAGAGATCCTTTTGTAATCCCATATATGTTTAAGCTGAGTCAGATGGAACCTGTGTACAGCATTGGTGAGAGTGCGTCTCTTTATACATTTGTTTAGTCGCCTACTGTGTCAGGAATAACTTGGTGCTCACACCCGAGTTCATGAAACAGTGGGTTGTGTTTCCACTAAGAATGGACTGAGACACCTTTTTAGGACTTTGCTAAATCAGTTTAAAACAGATGTGTAATGCCACCGATTTTTTTCTTTTTCACTTGATTTTACAGTTTTAGTCTTTTTAAAAAGATTTTTATTATTTATTTTTAGATAAAGGGGAAGGGAGGGAGAAAGAAAGGGGAAAAAATATTAGTGTGTGGTTGTCTCCCAAGTATCCCCCACTGGGGACCTGGCCTACAACCTAGCAGGTGCTTTGACTGGGGATCAAACCTGTAACTCTTTAGTTTGCAGGCCAGCACTCAGTCCACTGAGCTACACCAGCCAGGGCCAATTTTAGTCTTCTGATTAATCTACATTGTTCTGGCTTAAAAGCTAAAAAGCCATTCTTACATCTAAGAACAGTTTAAAATTCAGACTCTGAAGAGTTCTTGTGTTTAATTCTTGTCTTCCTCAGACACTTCCTACTTTCCTCATAAGGAAAGAGAGAGTTCTTTGCTGTGAGTGTCATACTAGATGGTCCCACACCATCCTGTGGCCTGTGTGGTGCTCAGGTCTATTCCCGTTACTTTGTGTGTTGTTTACACCGGGCTGCTATCAGTGCCCTGTCCCATCTCTTTGCATGGTGTAGTCCTTGAGCACATGTTCAACAAGCAATTCCGAACAGACTTCTATTCAGAGGGGCCCTCTTTGGTTTCTCCCCACCTTGGGTTGTTTTCCTCTTAATAACAGGTGGTTAGTATCGGTTATCAAAAGCAAAAAGAAAACAAAAGTCTGCAGTAATAAAAGTGATTAGTGTTAAAAGTTTGGGGTATACCTTCCAGAATTTGGAAATTTTGTCTTATGATTTGGATTTTTGGAAGAGTACCTTGCAACACACAAATAGGCTTTTCTTCCATCGTAGGACATGCTTATTGGAAGTAGGGGATTTTGGGGGTGGGTGGTCTTCTGGGGCCTTAGTAAGGACTTCATTCTTGTTTTGTGGTATCCAGCCAGACGAGTTCCACTGTTTGCACTTATGTTGTGTTCCTTTAATGTTTTAAATAGTCTATTTAATGATTTATGCATTTTTAAGACATCTTTTTTAACTTAAAAATGTTTGCTCAGTAAATTGTCTTCTTCCTATCACAATTTTAGATTGTCTCCAGCTTCAAGGCTACCACGTCGAGGGCTGTGTGCCAGCTTGTGAAGGAATACATTGGCCACAGGGATGGCATCTGGGATGTCAGTGTGGCGAGAACACAACCTGTGGTCCTGGGGACTGCATCTGCTGGTGAGTCCAAAGCTCACCCTGACACTTGTCATGCATAGTGCACAGCAGCTGGTTCGCATGACTGACCTTCGAGTGTAGATAGCAGAGTGAGCCTGGGAGCAAACATGTGTCTGAGTAGTCATTCAGACGAGGCACTCAGCCTTGACTTAGCACTTAGTTCAGATGTCCCTGTTAGGTCTTGTGAACCTCGTGGGTATGATGCCATGTCTGTCTCCATGGGACATAGCCAGCTGTGCTAAGGAATCACTTTTAGAGGCAGCGGAAGGTAGAGTGTCATTTAAATATATTAGGTATTTTTTTAATTGGCTTTCTTGTTATTCATAGCTAACTGTATGTCAACATTTCACATTTTTCCCACTTGTGAGATTTGGCTGAGGGAAGTGCTATGTGGTACTTCTGCAGGGGGCTGCTGTCCCGGGATCTAGGGGAGTAATGCCGCTGCCACCCTGAGTTTGCCTGTGGGACTCACAGGGTGGGTGATAGAGAGACCCATCTTTGCTCACTAAAGAAGGGGCATTTTTGAAAGCTAATTAATACTCCTTAGATAAAAACTGCTAAAATTAAAAATAGTGTTTATTTGTTGGAAATAACTTTTCTAGCTGTGACAAGTTACTTACCAGACTCTGTCTTTTCACGTGGCAATAAAAAATATAAAACTATTTAGAATAATTGAGACTTTTATTTCCTTGTTTAAAATTCTGTTCGTTTATGAGCACCCCAGAATTTTTTATGGAAATTACAACTAATAAAGAAGAATAGAAAGATCCTTTTCTTATGACTGACATCTCATTTGGGTAATTGGTATTTATTTTTCAGATTTTCCTATTAGGTCTACTTTTTATCTTTTTGTCATGCCCTTAAGTGGAAAGGTCTAAAGGAATATTTATTAAATATCAAATAATTTAGAACTGTATTTGGATGTTGTTTGCATTTGAATATCATATGTTGTTCTGAAAAGTTTTAATATTTCATACACACAAAAATGAACCCAGGTTGTAAATGACCTTTGTATTTAAGTCACCAGTGGGGTATAGTCAGTGTAACAGTGAACCAGGAGCTCAGGACCCTGGTTTTCCACTTGCTCATAAATGACCCTAGTCAAGTCACCAGCTTCTTCCATTGTTTTGGAAGAGTTGAATTACAGAGTGGTATAATCAGAATCATGGCAACATAACTTCTCATTTTTAGAATATTTGTCTTACTCTTTCATTAAAAAGACCATGTAGCTAGCAGTGGCTCAGTTCATTTGTTTTACTTTGCAGATCACACGGCTTTGCTGTGGAGCATTGAGACAGGGAGGTGCCTTGTCAAGTACACGGGCCACGTGGGGTCAGGTGAGCGCCATGTCATCAACTGGTCTCCAGACGGGAGGTTTGCTGAGTTGGTGTTGGGACAGTGAGGCATTCTCATAGACAGACACTATGCATCTAAGTATGGGTTTCACAAAGGGAAAGCTCAGCTCCCTAAACAACATCAGATAGGAGTTGTCTGTGTTTTATTTAGTGTTGCACAGAAAGGCACAAATAGATAGTTTTGAAATGGAAATATGTGTGTTATTTATCAAAAATTACGTATTCACTCTAGAGATTTGCTTTCCCATGTTCAGGCCCAAGGCAGGGCTCTGGCTGTCCTAGGCCCTTGCCAGCCCTTAGTGCCATAGTTAACATAGCAGCTCTTCCATGCCTTTTCTGTGTACCCTGTGTACCCAGGTGTTCTGACCAGATATCACCCACTCTTGTCCCTGCTCCCTTTGTAGGTCCTTCCATTTGGAATGCATAATATCCAGGGTTCTGTCAAGTGGTCCCTGGCTCACTGCCCCTTACCAGCCCTTGTCACCCCCTGAACCCTTGTAGACAAACTTCTAGGTGGCATCTGCCTTTTGTTTCTAGAGTTAGGGGTGTCCCCATCTACCAACTTGTCAAGAAACTGAGCCTGTTTATTGCTGGACTGAGGAGGTGAAGGTGAGGGTGGGAGGGGCCTGATGTGCAGTGAGCTTGTTCAGTCCTGCCCCTGGGGCTCGGGATGCTCACATGTATGGTCATGTCATATGGTGTGTGCTCCATGTGGGCCAGTTCATGGTGGTCAACATGAGCAGAAACCTCCAAACAGTCTCCAGAGTGTGTGCTCCCTCCCTTTGCTTCTGTTCCACCAGCAGTGCAGGCAAGTTCTGGCTCTTCCACATTCTCTCCAGCAGTGGGTCTTACTGAAATTGGGAGCATTCATACTATTTGCCTGTCAGGAGTGTGGTGATGGTCTAAGCATCACAGTTAATTGTTCCACCAGCTTCTCTTACAGTTACCTGTTGTCTAGAGTTAACAGTAAAACAGCATCTTTTAGTTCATTAAAAAAATATAATTCTAGTGGCAGCACTAATGGAATTCTCACTAAGAGAACTTGTTGAAGTCTGTTAAAACTTCCTTACATTCCATTTATGGGCCCTGCATCTCTTTTCAGGTATGGGTGTGAGGGCTGGCTTCCCCAGGGGACTGGACAACAGGGCTCTGAGAGCTGGGAAGGAGAGCATGGCCTAGGTCCACTTGGGCCTACACTGTACTCTGCAGATTATCTTTAACTCTTGATGCTTTCCCTATGGATAAAAAGAAATGGAGTGTAACCCTGGCTGGGTGTAGCTCAGTGGATTGAGCGCGGGTTGCCAACCAAAGGGTCGCCAGTTTGATTCCCAGTCAGGGCACATGCCTGGGTTGCAGGTCAGGTCCCCCGTTCGGGCCATGTGAGAGGCAACTACATATTGATATTTCTCTCCCTCTCTTCCCCCGTCTCTAAAAATGAATAAATAGAGTTAAAAAAAAAAGAAATGGATTGTTAATATTCTTTTTCCATGTGTACTGTGCTTTAGCAGTTTGATAGCTGATGTTGAGTATTTTTATTGTATCTTGGTTCTCTGTAATGTACATATTTTTTTACAGTTTAACTGACTAGGAGGATCTAATATTGAACTACCATAGTTCTTTTAGGGTTTAAATTTAACTGCAATATATGCTGTAGCTATAATAGGTATTAATGATGTTTTATTTTAAACCTGTTTGTGTAATATTTTTGTTTTGCAGTAAATTCTATAAAATTCCATCCATCAGAGCAGTTGGCTCTCACTGGTATGTTGATTTATTTTCTTTATTGAATAAAGTGACTGATACTCTTAAAACAGCTGTAATCATTCTCTTATCAGGAGCATCAGGATTATCCATGTCTTGTACAAAAGTTAGACGGTTTTTAGTAGGCGTTTTTTGAATTACATAAGAAATAAGGGAAAAAATACATTGAGTAGTACTTCTTTTAACCAGTAATGGATGGTAAATTACATGAGCTTTACCTTTTTGTGAGATTAACATTGTTCTAGGATCTTCTTGGAGACTTTTTATGAAGACTTCATGTTTGCACACTTTCCCTTCTTGTGCCATGAAGATCCTCAGCAGATTGTGACTCAGTTTTCTGAGGCCCGTTATTCTGCTGAGTTCCTAATTCTGTGTGCACCTCAAATACAGAAATGAGAAAATAGTAGTTCCAAGTCACAGCAGTCTGCAGAGCCTGTGTTCTTATTCTTTTCTAGGTAGTTCTCCTAAACTGTGGTAGCTTGTGTTTGTCATATTTTACATAGTGGTTTTAAAAACAACAATAATGAAGTACCTTCATTATTATATTGAGACGTTTTCCTATTAAATCCAACAGCTGTAGTCCACTGTTGGTGTTTTGGGACACTGAGAGTAATCTTGAAGGATAAGTGCTTGGATGGAACAGAGATCAGCAGTCTTTGTCAAGGACTAGAAGTAACTGTTTTCATCTTTGAGGACCACAGGGTCTGTGTCATAACTGCTCAGCTCTGTGTTAGTGGGGAAGCTGCAAAGACACAGATGAATGGACATGGCTGTGTGCAGGAAGCATTATTTACAAAATGGGTGGTTGCCTGGATTTGGCCCCTGGGCAAAATTTTGCTGACCCTGGGATAAAAGGACAAAAGCAGTTCTAATTGGTTGCTTTTACATGTGAGTGGAATACAATGGGCAAGTTAGTTTGAGAGTCATAGGCCTGACCACAGTAGCTCGTTGATACCTGAAAAAACATTTTGGGAATAAGGTAGGTGAGGAGTTTAAACTTTATTAAATCAACCGTTCATTTTGTGGAAGAGGGAAGATGGAGGGAGACTAATGACAACCAGAGATTGGAAAGGAGGTATTGAAATCAACGGACAACTCAGAAGGGAGCTGATGGAAACTGAAACAGATAACAGTAGTGGGCTAGAGAGGGGAGTGCAAGATGGGGCGTTGGTCATGATGCTGATTCTAAGAGAGATTGGCAAGTCAGGCAATAGGTGCATTTAACACCTGAGAAAGGTACCACCATCTGCACATGGTCACTTCCTTGAATAAGCTCTGCAGCCACAAGGCGAGGTGGGATTCAACCAAAGACAAAGTGGGATTCAGCTGGTTCTCCTGTGAGGGTGGGTGGAGACGATGGATACTCCTGGGACCTTTCTGGGCTTTCAGCTGTCCTCTGTCTTTCTGTTTTCAAGTCCAAGCATCACCTTGGAGATTTGGCTGGTGAGGTCTTAGTACTTATGGGTGCCTGGCAGATCATGAGGTCCATCAGCGTTGAGTGGTAGGACCATTCATTTGTGTGTTGCTCACTTTTCTGAAATAACCTCAGAACCTATTATAGGCACAAGTGAGAGTATAACTGGGTTTCAGTTTACTTAGGTATTTGGAGAATAAAACCTGTTCGTATATTTTCTCTGACCCCTCACAGCTTTCCACACTAAAATGAAAAAGGGAACATTTTTTTAAAGTAATTATCTTAATTTTGTGCCTTTACCTTTTCTCAATAGCCTTATGTATTTTCAGAAATAAATACTTGAGTGAATGTGCTTCAAGAAGTGAATAATGGTCACTAAGTTAACACAAGTCTGATGATGCCAAAAGCCTTTCAAAAGGTACTTTTTACGTATGGCATGCACTTTGGGTAATTTTTCCCCAATTTCTCTCTTCAGCTTCTGGAGATCAGACTGCTCACATTTGGAGATACGCAGTTCAGCTGCCGACACCCCAGCCTGTGGCTGATACTAGTGTAAGCAGCACATTTTCTTACCCTGAAAATGCATCCTGGGGTATGTTGGTGGGGTTCTGGATGTCTGCAAATCTCAGGATAACTTGCTGTCATATGGACTGAATGTTTGTGTCTCCCAACATTCAGAGGTTGAAGCTATAATTCTGTGTGACTATGTTTGGATATAGGGCCTCTAAGGAAAAAATGAAGGTGAAATGGGGTCATAGAGTAGCACCCCGATCCTACAGGATCAGTGCCTTTATAAGAAAAGATACCAAAGAGTTCCTGAGCTTTTTCTGTCCCCGGATACAACTGGGAGAGGTCATGTGAGGACATGATGAGAAGGCAGTATCCACATGCCGGGAAGAAAGCCCTCTCCAGAAACCATATCCACTGCCCCTTGATCTTGGCCACCCAGTCTTGCTGCTTTGTGTTGGCAATGTGAGCAGATTAAGGTGGAGTCTAAGAAGTACCTTACTTTATATATGCATGTGCTTGCTTTAACCTCCCTCTCACAAATATTAAACACTTACCTTTCTTTTAAATTTATGAATAGGTTGCATTTCTTAATGTTTTATGTACTTGATTTTGGACAACTTTCTAAAATCAGTGGCATGTGTAGTATTTTTATGTAGGTAAAGGTTTTTTTTCAATTTAAATTATATTTTATTGTTTATGCTGTTACAGTTGTCACAATTTTGCCCTTTGTGTAGAGCCCCCCCCCCCCCCCAATTCCCTCAGGCATCCCCCCACTGTGTCCATGTTCATGGATCATGCATATGTATTTTTTGGCTACTGTATTCCCTGTGCTGTACTTTGATCCCCAATGACTGTTCTGTAACAACCAATTTGTACTTCTTAATCCCTTTTTGCCCATCCCCCTGACACTCCTCCCATCTGGCAACCACCAAAATGTTCTCTGTATCTATGATTCTGTTTCTATTCTGCTTGTTTGTTTATTTTGTTTTTTAAATTCAATTGTTGATAGGTATGTACTTATTACCATTTTACTGTTTATATTTCTGATCTTCTTAAAGAAACCCTTTAACATTTCATATAAAAATGATTTGGTGATGATGAACTTGTTTTTTCTTGTCTGGGAAGCTCATTATTTGTTCTTCGATTCTAAATGATAGTTTTACTGTGTAGAGTAATCTTGGTTGTAGGTCCTTGCTTTTCATCATTTTGAATATTTTTTGACAATCCCGTCTAGCCTGCAAAATTTCTTTTGAGAAATCAGCTGGTTTCTTATGGGAACTCCCTTGTAGATAACTAATGGCTTTTCTCTTGCTTCTTTTAAGATCCTCTCTTTATCGTTAACCCTTGGCATTTTAATTATGATGTGTCTTGGTGTAGGCCTCTTTGGATTCATCTTATTTGGGACTTTTTGTGCTTCTTGGATTTGTATGTCTACTTCCTTTACCAGGTTAGGGAAGTTCTCTTTCATTATTTTTTTAAATAGGTTTCTAATTTCTTGCTCTTTCTTTTCTCCTTCAGGACCCCCATGATGTGAATTTTGGTACGCCTGAAGTTGCCCCAGAGACTTCTTATGCTATCCTCATTTTTTTTATTCTTTTTTTCTTTTTGCTGTTCTGATTGGGTGTTTTTTGCTTTCATGTATTCTAAATCACTGATCTGATTCTTGGCTCCATCCCCTCTACTCTTGGTTCCTTATAAATTGTTCTTCATTTCAGTTAGTGTGTCCTTCATTGCTGATTGGTTCTCCTTTTATGGTTTCCATGCTCTTTTTTTGTGTTGTTGAAGTTTTCATTTAGTTCATTGAGCATCCTTATAACCAGTGTTTTGACTTCTGCATCTAACACACTGCTTATCTCCATTTTGTTTAGTTCTCCCTCTCTAATTTTGCTCCATTCCTTCTTTTGAGCCATGCTTCTTTGTCACATTTTGGTAACATCCCTGTGTTTGTATGTATTAGGTAGAGCCGATACTACTCTCTGGCTTGGTAGAATGTCCTAATGTAGTAGGTGTCCAGTGGCACTATCACCCAAGTTGGCAATCAAGGTGCACCCACTGTGTGGGTTGTGTACACCCCCCTCCTTCAGCTGAGCCTTGACTGCTATTGATAGGTCAATAGGAGGGATTTACCCAGGCAGATCAGCTGCAAGGACTGGTAGCGACCACTGACCACCAACCTCTAATCAGTCACCATGGACGATTAGTTGTGCAGGGGCCCACTCCACAGATCAGGACTTTCTTCAGCAGTGCTCTGGTGCCTGCTGAGTTTGCCCCTTGAGTGTGTTGCTTATGGAGGTTGGGTGGGTGGTGATGCTCCGATGTGGTCTGTAACTGTCCACTGGGTGTTCAGGCTCTGGAGCCTCCTGGGAGGTGCAGGCCAAGGTCAGCCACCCTCTGTGTTCTGTCTGGGGCCACCAAAATAAGCTACAAAGCAGTCTGCAGTTGACTGCTACTTGTGCTGGGCTTGGAGGTACCTAACTGAGTCTAAGTGAACTAAGGCCAGCTGCGTTACTGCTAGTTCCAGGCCTGGGGGCCCCTTACCAATAGGCATGGGGTACACCGAGGCCAGATGCTGTTTGTTTGAGAGAATTTTGGAAAATATGAAGCATGAGCCAAGATAAGCCATTTGTATGGAAAAGCCACTGGAAACAGTCTGGGTGGACTTAAATGTTGGGTTGAGCAGCGCATGGTGGAACAAACTGTGGCACCTGCCTGTTGGCTATGTCATGGGGAGGGCTCAGAAAAGGAACAGTTGCCTCTGCCTGCACTTCTGTGTGGGAGAGTGCTGCTTCTCAGCTCTTGTCCTGATGTCAGACAATTCACTTCTCCCCATATGTCTCTGATGCCTTTCAGGCTGCTGCTCCTGTGCTGGAGCTTGGGAGTGAGTCTGAATAAGTCTGTGTGTGGACCGTTTAGGAAGAACTGAGAACTTAGCAGTTTGTCTTCCACAGCCTCAATCTCTGCTGGTTTTTAAAGTCAGAAATTATAAGGACTTATCTGCCTGGCACTGGAACCTGGGGCTAGGGGGCCTGGTGTGGGGCTGGGTCACCTTGCTCCCGAGATATCTCTCCTCATTTTTGTCTGCCACACATTCGTATGGGACCAGCTTGTTCTGTATCTCCACCCCTCCTACCAGACTGGATATAGTTTATTCTTTAATTCTGTGGTTGTAGGACTTCCATTCAGCTTGATTTCTGACATTTCAAAATGATGGTTGTTCTGTATTTGGTTGTAATTTTGATGTGGTTTTGTGAGGAGGCGAGCTGTGTTTATCTAAGCCATCATCTTTGGCTTGCAGGTAAAGTTTCAATGTAGGGAACAATAGAGTTTACATACTGAGAAAAAGAATGAATTAATAGATTAAACCATAAATCCTTCAATTACTGTTTGTCTCATAATATTGGATACTGTTTATAATCACTCAGAGACCTTAATTGTCCTTTTGAGTGAAATGATCTGGCTTTTTGCTGTCTTATCCTCACTTGTGGTGATGATCCCTTTCCTTGCCCTGCCGATAGCAAGCAGAGAGGTCAGTGATGTCATGCAGTCAGTGTAAAGATGAAGTTTCAGCTCACGTTTGGTCATAATTTCTGGTTGATGATTGGTAACCTTCTAGTTTAGATGTTTCTGCCTCTGAAAATTCCTTTACATTTTAAGCATTGTTCTATTTGGGAATGGGTTAAGTAATTAATGAATTCCAGTGATGAGTAAGAGTGAGTTTAGAGGTCTTATTAACAGCTCATTTTTATTTTTAAAGATTTTATTTATTTACTTTTAGAGAGATGTGAAGGGAGGGAGAATGAGAGGGAGAGAAACATCAGTATGTGAGAGATACATCAGTCAGTTGCCTCTTGCACACACCTAACTGGAGACCTGGCCTGCAACCCAGGATGTGCCCTGGCTGGGAATTGAACCTGAGACCTTTCGGTTTGCAGGCCAGTGCCAAATCCACTGAGCCATACCAGCCGGGGCAAACAGCTCATTTTTAATTGAGTGTATTGTGTACTTTATTTTAACACAGTTTTTGCTCATGTGGAATTACCAAATTATTTATTATGTGTCGTACTTAACAGGCTCATTCATTGAAGAGATAAGCATTGGGTTTTGATGGAGGACAGGGCAGAGATAAGGGTGGGATTAATGCTCAGAAAGGTAAAAAAGTCAGTTAACACTGTGTGGTTACCGCCCCCCCACCAATAAATAAGAAAATATCAGTCTTGTTAGAGGAGAAAATTATGTATGCTACTTACATTTAAAAAACTTAATAATTTACTTAGAATTTAAATTGACTTTTTCTCCTTTATGGTTTTGTTTACATTAGAAACAGGTTTTTTCATGTGTGGATTTTTTGCCTCAGGATTTGAGGCCCTTGGGGGAAGCCCAGACTGAACTAGAGAGGAGCCTTCATCACAGCGTGTGACTGGAACCGCTTCAGCGCTCTGCCAGGCAGGGTTCTGTGTGGCCTTTGCTTATGAGGACTGGATTACTCCCCTTTGTAGTTGTCACTCAGTGCACACACGGATCTTTGATTGAGGGCCACTTGAGTTCTTAAGCTTCTGCTGGATTCCTTAGCAGTTCTCCTAGAATCTCAAAAAGCCTCTAGTCTGTGAAGATCATTTTGGATCAGTTCAGCTTTTGGACAGAGGCTTTCTCCTTTTCATTGGCATCCATGATGTTAATAAAGAAATATTTGGATGATATTGTGTAAACAGTTTTAGATTGCCTGTTATATCACTCTGTCATACTAGTTGTATGATGCTGAGTAAGTAATTTAACTTAGGTGAATTTTCTCCATTTGAAAGTGAAAATCGACGTGAGTTACATATGGGCTCCCAATGGCCCCTGCTACATGAGAACATGTGATTCAGGGACTTGTGGTTTTGTGGACAACGTGTTCAGTAGTTACTTAGTATGAAATACTTACTAGGTAGTTCTTGGACATTTCCGTTCAAACGTCATTGGCAGTAAAAATGACTAAAGTTAAATAGATTAATTATCTCTAAGACAGTGGCAAAAAAAGTGTCTTACCCTTCCATGTCCTGCCCTTTGCCAATTTAGGGTTAAAGATTTGACAATTATCCTTTTATATTTATTACATGTGTGTTTTAAATATCTTTTAATTCCTGCTGTAGTTTGTGCAACAAGATCACTTCTGTAAATGTTGCGACTGACCTTTCAAATGTGGATCCTGATAAGTAGGGCTTTTTACATGGGAGCTCCAGGCCGTTCTTTTGTACCACTGTGCCTTCCTGCACCCAAGTTCTCCACTGCACTGTTCCAAGACCACATTGCACATGACCCTCCCCACTCCTATGGGAAAGGTTGCTCCTTTGGGTGCCCACTTGTTTCTCCTTCCATTAGAATAGCTAGTGAAGAGCCCATTAGCTCACTCTGCAGGTCTGGGTGTAATTGTGAACAGGACCGTCACTTTGATACTCTAGGACTGTCACTTTGACACTCTTCCCTTCAGTTACCTCCCCTCCTCCATTTTCCATCTAATACATACGTCTTCCTGGTTCTGGCTCCTGAATAATTTTTGGATCATTTCTGTCTCCCTGTGACACCCAACCTGAGGTCTCTGCAGAGTGTCCCCACTTGGTGCCCCTGTTCTGCACTTCCCACAGAGCTGTCCACACCCCCTACTTGCCAGTCCAGGAGTTAGCAAAGATGCAGGAGTCTCCCAGGAGCAGCTGTGGGGGTGAGAAGCCCCGTTGCCTAGGAACCAGAGCCCGGCTGCAGCATCTCCATTGGATTGTAATAGTGACTGTTGTTTCTCCTGCCTACATGCTGTTTACCTTGCAGGGAATGGTTTACCTTGAGCATGTTGCATTCCATGGGAACACATCTGTCTTTTTTGCTGTCACCATCCCTAGTCCAGATCACTAAGTAGTCTCCTGACTAGTTTCCCTATCTCAGATCTGACCACTCTTGTCCAGCCTCTTCTCTGTGAAATTGGGAGTGGTCTTCATAGCGTTGTGTCTCTGTGAGTCACTCAATGAGCCCTTGAAAACCTAATTTAGTCTCAGTTTGTGTCCCTTCCCTGCTTCAGCTCCTGGATGGGCTTGCTGCCCTGACTCGCCACCTTTTCGCTCTCTGCTGACCCTTCCCCTAGATCTCTCCCCTCACACCACTCCTCATCCTGCAGGAACCTGTCAGTGTCACAGACTGCCTGCATTTGCCTTTCTAGCATTTAGCATTATATGAAATAGATAATTTTGTGTAAGCATTTATGTTTAACTTTCCCATTAGATTCTGAGTCCTTTCTCTGGACAGGTCTATTTGTGGTCACATTGGGCAGGCCCTCTGTCCTACCTGCACTGATCAGTGAGCGCCCCGTGACTGGCCTCACCGCCAGGCGACTCTGGGCTGTGACACTCCCCACCACACTTCCCCAGGCTGCAACTCTGCCAAATTTCGGGTGACATCCTCACATTCTCCCTTTTGCATATTTTCACTGGCCTCCTTATTTCTTGTGTTGTCCCCAGCAGCACGCAGACATGGCACAGTAGCAGTCCCCATAATCCACCTGAGCCTTGTGCTGTATTTCACCTGGAGCCACATGGTATTGGTTTCTTACGCAAACCTCAGACTTGTCACTGGCACTCCTTTGCCTCTCTTGACACACTTCTCTAGAGTAAGCGGTGTCCCAGCTGGACCTGTTTCTCATGAGCATCCCATCCATGTCGCCTACCTGCAGGCATTTTCACTTGCTCCTTGGGCTTCTCTCTCCATCTCACATCTTGTGTGCTTCTCTTATTTTCTCTCTCCTTGAGTCTCATTGGCTGGGTCACCTCCTCTTCCCAATGATTCCTCATCTCTGACACTTTACCCTCTCACTTACGTGTGGGTCACCTGCCCACTCTCTCTCCTCTGTGTGAGTCACCTCCTTACTCTGTCACGTGTGTGGGCCACCTCTACCCTCTGACCTGTTTTCCTCCCCCAGTACTCTCAGCTGACCTCAGACCCATGGTTTTAAGGACCATCCCTTGCTGCTGATCCCCCAGTTTGCACAGTGTCCCTGACTTTAACTTTAGATTCCTATAGACATCTAACTACTTACTCAATTTCTACTTGGATGTCTTATAAACATTGCAAAACTTACGTGTCCAAAATTGAGCTCTGGATGTTCCCACAACCCATTCCTTCTCTTTTGTTCCCTGTCTCAACCTTTATTCTTCACCCTGTTTATCAATTTGGGTTGCTGTAACAAAGCACTCCTAAGGGGGCAGCTTAAATTTTTTAAAATTGATTTTTAGAGAGGGAAGAAGGGGGAAAAGAGAAACATCGATTTGTTGTTCCTCTTATTTATGCATTCTTTGGCTGTTTCTTGGGTATGCCCTGATCGGGGATTGAACCCAGAAACCTTGTAATATCAGGATGACACTCCAGCCAGCTGAGCTACCTGGCCGGGGACAAGGGGATGGCTTAAACATCAAATGTTCCTTGTCTCATGGTCTTGACGGCTGGAAGACTCAGATTCAGTTGTCAGAAGGACTGTTCTTTTCTGAGCCTGTGGTCCTTGGCGCACAGACAGGCCTCTTCCCATGTCCTTACATGGTTGTCTGTGTGTGTATCTGTCCTCATCTCCTATTTTAGGGACATCAGTAATACTGGATTAGGGTATACCCCAAAGGCCCCCTTTTACTCTAGTACCTCTTTAAAGACCCCATCTCCACATACAGTCACGTTCTGAAGTACTGGGGGTTGAGTGAGGATTTGACATGAATTTTGGGAGACATAGTTCAGCCCCCTGGAATGTTCACACAGAAGAGTGGTTCTTTAAAGCATGAGTCAGACTGACTTTCTTTCTTACCCAGAATTCTCTGGTGATTTTCCAGCATACAGAATAAAATTCAAAGTCCTTTCCATTTTTCTAGGTTTCACATGAGTTACACCAGAAACCTCTCTGAATCCACCTCTGCAAGCTCCTTCCCTGTAGCTGATGTGCTCCATTATGGGGCCTTTGCATCTTCTGTTCCCTTGGCTGGGAACACTGTTCTTTAAATATTTGCAGGCCTTACTCCTTGTTTTTTTTCACATCCTGAGTGAAATGTTACTTTAGCAGAGTATTTCCCTGATAATTCTGTATAAAGAGTAGTCCTCATGACTGTCCATCTCTTTATCCTGTTTTATTTTTTCTTAACACTTAATTATTACACAGATATGTGTATGTGTACGTGATACCTGTGCCTATACTGTGAGTGTACACATATGACAAATATCCCTATACTATGCATATTAATATGTGATATCACTGTGCTATGGGTGTGTGTACACATGGCATGTATTCTCACACTAGTGTGCGTATATATACAATATACATTTCCATACTAGTGTGTATATCTATGACATGTTCCCATACTAACATGTATATATGTGTGCATGCATGTACGCACCTCCACACATGTGGTTTACATGTGTGGCTTGTCTTCCTTGCTAGTATGTAGATTCCCTGAGGCAGGGCTTTGCTAGTCTCTGGCTTAATTGCTCTCTTTACCTTGCTGTTCATTGTCCCTTATGTCCACGTCAGCAAAGCTTGTCTCCTCTCCTTTGTGTCCATCCTTTGGTCTGGTACTGTGTAGGCATCTGATAAATATTTGTTGAATGAATAGATAAGCATATATTTTTTAAAGAGCTGAAGCCTGTGGTGACTATATTGTTTTTATTTTATCTTTAGCTTTTGACAAAAAGACTTTGATGATTTGTAGGACGATAGTCTGATTGGGTAGCCATGTCAGAAAAGACCTGTGATACTCAGGAGTTCTTCTCTGTTCTCACCTTCAACAGCAGATATGTGGTGAGGACGAAGTCGAGTGCTCTGATAAGGATGAGCCTGATGTGGATGGAGACGTGTCCAGTGATTGTCCTACTATCCGGGTACCCTTGACTTCCCTTAAGAGTCACCAGGGCGTGGTCATAGCTGCTGACTGGCTGGTTGGGGGCAAGCAGGCAGTGACAGCCTCCTGGGACCGAACAGCAAACCTGTACGACGTGGAGACGGCAGAGCTTGTTCACTCTCTGACAGGTACCAGAGCCCTGGCCTCCCATTTGTGTGCTCGTGAGTTATGTGCTTATATGTATATCTTACCCTGCACATTCCTTCCTGTCCAGAATTATTGTTCTCTGGGTGCTGATTTTTTAGAGATCCTTTCTAAAAAAAAACTGTTGGTAGCTGATTTTATCTTTAGGAGATTTAATTGTAGCATGTAGTACGTAGATATTTGAAACATGCTGGTGTATTAGCTTTCTATTGCTTTATAGCATTCCACAGACATGGTATCTTAAAATAACATGAATTTAAACCTCGTGGTTTCCCTATGTCAAGAATCTTGGGCACGCTTGTCCCTCTGCGCAGGGTCTCAAGGTGCTGCCTGGAGTGTTAGCTCATCTGAGGCTTGGGGTCCTTTTTTTTTACTACTGTTGGAAGGATTCATTTCCTTGTGGTGAATGACAGAGGTCTCCATTTTCTTGCTAGCTGTCAGCTGGGGACTGCCTTTAGCATCCAGTATGCAATTAGGTCCCTCGTGGCTCCTTCTAGAGTTGTATTTCCCATGGCTATTTGATTTCTTCCAGACCAGCAGGGCAGCATCTCTGCCTGGACCCTTTTCAGAAGCCCACTTGATTATGTCAGATCCACCCAGGACATTTTTTTTTTTTTTTGATGAACTCAAAACCACCTCATTTAGGGGCCTAAGTTACAGCTGCAAAATCTGTTTTGCCATGTAACGTACTGAGATTACCAGAGCAGTAGCTTATCACATTTGTAGGTTCTGCCCAAACTCAAGGGAAGGTATCAGTCAGACAGTGTGTACACCAGAGATGAGGGTCTTTAGGCCATCTTAAAAGTCTGCTCACCACAAGTGTTTTTGCAGATTTGTCAGTAAGAACATTTCCTGTTTGTTAAAGACTAATTTCACTGAAGACTCCGCATATATTATTAGAGGCTATTCTGCAAGTGAATGAGCCTGTTAAAGAGATTTGCCAGACCTTTTAACTGTTAGGGTCAGGAAGTAGGTCATACTCACACTCAGTGTCATGCTCCTTTTAAATGTACAAGTGAAAGGACTTTCAGCTCTTGAGGGAAAACTAGTCTCACTGTGACCACACGTGCTATTTATTGTTTCCGTGTGCTTACTTTTACAGCGAGTATTAGCAGTGGAGGACATAAAGACTGAGTTTTGATTCTGGTATTTTTAAGAGAGCTTCAGTGTAACTATCTGCACCTGGGTGACCTTACACTTTTGTTGGTTTTGATTGTGTTGTAGGGCATGACCAGGAACTCACGCACTGTTGTACACACCCTACCCAGCGGCTTGTGGTGACCTCTTCTCGTGACACGACCTTCCGTCTGTGGGATTTCAGGGACCCATCTATCCACTCTGTGAATGTTTTCCAGGGCCATACGGAGTGAGTTGCAGTTTCTTTTTAACTGTTCACTGTAAAGGTTTTGTGGTTGGATATGAAAACTCAATTCTTACCTTAATTTTCGTATTAATTTTGAACTCCACTGTCTTCCAAAATGGCTACTCTTTTCCTAAACATTTAACTCCATTTTGGAGATTTCAAAGAATTTAGGAGACTGAGAGAACTCACTGAAGTTCTCTCAAGAAAATTGGATGGGGACAGAATGGGACTTTGGGAGAGATCAGAGAGGAAATGGGAAGTCTCCAGCACTGGTAGTGTGAGGGGATCCCACTGGAACTGTTCACAGCCACCCCTCACACTGGGGTGTTTTCACCTAGTTTTGATAATACGTATATTTGCAGGGTCTGTTCCAGGAGAAGATACTTGGTACTCTGATGTACACTGACTTTCACCCTTCTCTCTCTGCCTGTGTATTAGGCAGCTCAGGAGTAACCGTATCCTAAGAGGACTTTCTTCTTTCCACAAACTTCTTGTTCTCCCAGTCTGACCCTTCCCAATACATGACGTGATCATCTTTCTAGTTACTCAACTCATGAACCTCCCCACCCCGCCGCTAACGTTCCATTCAGACCGCAATAAGACCTCTTGTCCAGTCATACCTCCTGATGTATGCAGTGGTGTTCAGGAAGTACTTTCTCAGAAAGATTTTATCTGTTCATTCCCAGAGAAAGGGGAGGGGAGGGAGAGAAACACCTATCAGCTGCCTCCTGCACAGGCCCTGAAGCGGGACCCAGCCAGCAACCCACCCATGTGCCCTGACCAGGAACTGAACCAGTGGCCTTTCAGTTCACAGGCCAGTGCTCAATCTACTTCTGTTGAGCTACACCAGCCAGTGCAGTAAATACTTTTTTATGAATGAATTTTTGCTTATCCAGCTGTTCCAGAATATATATTTCACTCACTCCACCATGTGATGTAACAAATAAGTCTGTTTTATCTTTTTAATGTTAGATATTAAGTGTTAGATTCAATGTTTATGATTTTTAAAAAAAAGATTTTATTATTTTTAGAGAAAGGAGAAGAGAGGGAAAAAGAGAGGGAAACATCAATCTGTGGTTGCCTCTTGAGTGCCCCCAACTGGGGACCTGGCCCATAACCCAGGCATGTGCCCTAACTGGGAATCAAACCAGCAACCCTTTGGTGTGCAGACTGGCACTCAATCCACTGAGCCACACCAGCCTGGGCTGATGGTTATAATTCATAAAGTATACAAAAGGGAACTAGGATAGAGTTTTATAAGGAGCTTGACATTGGAGAACAAGTTGCACCTTGCACCTGAGGTGCATGTAAGTGTTTGGAGTAAGCAGCAGGCAGCACACTGGAGATTTTAGCATACCACTGACTCTGTTCTGAGGCCAATCCATATGAGAATTTATTTTATTCTGATAAGGGAGGTATTTCTTTACCAACTAGGGTAGGTATAACCCTGAAACAGAAAATGCCCAATTCTCAGGGGTTCATATAGTGCTGGGGGGCTGAGCAGAACCCCACATGTTCTCCCTGTCCTTGTGAGTCTAGTTCTTTTGGTTGCTCTGGAAGTTATGGAGGGGAAGCTTCTAACCAGGCCAGCCTACATGAGCACACTGGGAAGGGTGGGGTTGTGAGTGGAGCAACAGTTCTTCATTTCCCGCTTTTAGGGTGAGGTGACTAAGCCAGAGAGCAGATGCAACTTTCAGTGGGTGGTTACCATGAGGACCAAATGTGAGGCGAGCAGACCCTCCTACAACCTTACCCTGGAGCCTGCACATCTTTTCTCCAAGTATTTTTTGTGAGAAGTTTCAGAATTACTTAAAAGTTGAAAAAAAGAGTGCATCAAATCCAGTGGTCCTTCTAGAAGTGCAATTGTTTTTATTTCACCACACTTGTCTCTCTATATATGTGTACATATGTATTGTATGATACACAGCACACACATACACTTCTGTCTAGAGGTATTCGTACACGTGTATCATGAGAATGCGTAGTGCATGTGTAATTCTGTCTCTTTAGATTTGTGTACACATGCATGAATAGAACACATACTTCTGTCTCTAGATACATATGCACCCATGAATATACAACATATGCACTGTTGTCTGTAGATATATGTTCACATGTATCATGATACATCATATGTGCACTTCTAGATATGTTCACATATATTGTATGAATATATAGCAGTATGCACTCCTGTCTCTATAGATAGGTGTTCACATGTACCATGTGAATACACAGCACACACACTGTTCTCTCTGTGGATACATGTACATGTTATTGTATTGGAATGTACACTGTATTCTCTGTACAGCACTTTCTTTGGCTGAGCCCTTGGAAAGAAAGTGTCCTTGTCATCACACTTTTCCCCTCAGATGTATCTTTTCAGAATAAGGACATTTTCTTAAATAACCACTGTGCCATTATCCATGTAAGAACATGTAAAAAAAAGTCTCTAATATCACCTGATATCCAACCCATATTCAGATTTATCCTTATTGTCCCAAAATATCTTTTGATAACTTTTTAAAGTATTTAATTAGGATTCATTAATTACATTTAGATACTGTGTTCTTTGGTCTTTCTCTTTTTTCCCTTTTATCTCTTTTTAAATATATTTCAAATTTTACTACTGATTTCTTAATAGTTTAAATTACAAAAGTAATGTTGAGACATACACATTTCATATTTGTTGAAAAGTTCTTTGGTCTCTTTTAATCTAAGACAATCCTCTACTCATTTTGTTGTAATTTTTTTACAAAAAATTGAAATTTTTCGTAGAGAATCCAAGCCTGTGTCATGGAATGTCTCGCATGCTGACTTTTTCCTTTTTCCCAGAAGGATGTTTTCCACTTTGAAATGAATGAAGTGACACTTTGTGACGTGAATATCTTCTTGAAATGAAGTGACACTTTGTGACATGTGAATATCTTCTCCAGTTACCTTTCATCCAGTGAAAGTTCTGACATCATCAATGATCCTTGCCTGACTCAGTTAGTACACCGAGTGTTACAAAAGGGTGATCTTGTTAATTCTGTCATTCTTTCTACACATTAGCTGGCTCTGTTCATTAGTGTAATTGAAGGTTAGTATAGACTCGAGGACTTTTTTCATTTTGATGGTTATAAAGTCTTGGCTGTCATAATTATTTTTGATGCTGAAGTTGTTCCAGAGTCAGCTGCCAAGCGTACCCACCTGTGGCTTCTCTGTCTCTGTTTACTGGGCCCTCTTGTCTTTGAGTATGCACTGCTTTTGGCACAGTAGGATTCTGTCCTAGCCTTATTCTGCACTTTCCTACCTGACAGTGGAAAGGGCCAGCAGTCTTCTCACTAAACTGCCTCTGCTCGCTGGTATTGCACCAGGCCAGAAGTGGTCAGAGATTTGAGGACTGTGTAGAGATGGGGTAGTCATACTTGTGTTGTGCCTCTAGGAAACATTGTAAATAGTCTCCTAGACTGTTTTTGCTCTACTCTAGATTCTACCCTAGACTCTGCTTTGCTGACCTGACTGGCCTGTGCAGCATGGATAGGAGACACAAAGACCTGTGGGTGGAGAATCAGGGAGGACTGGGGTCATGTCTGGAGAGTGAGGTAAAAAATGGAGAGAGTGGTGGCAGCTGCTTTTACTGAGTCCTTGGTGTGCACCAGGCACAGTGAAAACTGGGTCTAACTTTTTTAATCCTTACAGTGAGCAAGTCTCTCCCTATTCTGCGGAGGTAAACTGAGGCACAAGGAAGTCAGATAATTTCCTGTAGATTTCATGGGTTCTAGGTGGGGCTTGACTTTTAAGTGTGATTCCAGAGGAGTCTTTCTTGGTGTTATTTAAAGAACTGTTTAGTCACATTCTATTTTCATTTTCTTTATTTGTTTGAAAGATTTTATCTTTTGTGCCAAAAGAGCCAGGAATTTTTGTATGTTACTGGAAGTTGATGGAAGTGCCAGTTTTAGCTTTGTGTTTTAACAACAGGTTTTTCTCATGAATCTCCCTCAGATTATGGAGTACAGGAGATACCAATGTCTTATTTAAAGTATCTGTGTAATTTGTGGCATATTTTTGCAGCTGGTAGGTACAGGAAATAATGGCTGTTTTTGGAGAGAGATGCTTATGAGGAATATAACTGCTTACAAAGGAAATCTAATTCCTAGTGTGGACCTTTTACACAGTTTCTTAGGTTTGTTTCTCTACTGCGAACTGGAGTTTCTCAGAGTAGACATGAAGTTGTGTCCTGGGGGCCTCTCCCATCCGGATCTCCCAAGACATAAGTTGATGCTACATTAACCGTAGCTATGAGGTCACAGCTTTTAAATGAAAATAAAATATACGTACAAGTAGCACTGTTGTGCAGATTATTTACATTTTCATTTGTGTCGGAATGAACTAGCATACTTTGTTGATGTGTAGAGAGAAAAGTTTTTAAAAATTCTCTCAGCCCTGGCTGGTGTAGTTCAGTGGATTGAGCATGGGCCTGTGAACTAAAGGGTTGCTGGTTCAATTCCCAGTCAGGGCACATGCCCTGATTGCGGGGCCAGGTCCCCAGTGGGGTGTATGAGAGGCAACCACACATTGATGTGTCTCTTCTTCTCTTTCTCCTTCCCTTCCCCTCTCTCTTAAAAATAAATAAATAAAATCTTTAAAAAAAAGTTCTATCTTTAACACTAATTTACTGCAGTAGTGTGAGGGGGATATTTTATCTCTTATCTAAGCCTTTGAGAATTCAGCAGGGACTGGCTAGGGGCTGGTTTGTGGTGTCTGTCCTACACTCACCCAGTCATGGCTGCACCAGGACCACAGGTGGGGGCCTCTGCCATCTCTGTTGGGAAGGCCCACACCTTGTGAGAAACCACACTGTGTGGTCAGGAGGTGACGTATGCAGGCTGCTTTATTCCACACTAGAGTACCTTCCTGTGTAGTGTCTGCAGTAAGCCTCTAGAAGTAACTGCAGTTTGGAAAAGCAAGAAGTGAGACATTTTACAGTCTTCTGTTGAGGACTCTTAGTCAATAATTGTTGC